TAACGATTAAATCAACAAGGAAATAAATAGATCGATAGGTATCGATATCGAATTTTAGTTTATTTCTTAGTATTTTGAAAATGTATGTACTTTTAGAATCTATACCATAGAGTCAATAATGTTCAATTTTTGGCTTCGACTTCTTCCGCCTGCCTTCTTATGCGCGGATTTTGTAGATACAGATAAGGAATAGGGAAAAGAATAGCGAAGAATTTGTAAGTGTGAGTAGGTATAAATCAAAGCATATTCACGAACGTATATGTATACATATACATATATACATATATGTATATTGGGTTATTTACATCATAGAGAATGTTCAGCACTTTAGGTCATGTTCACTGCAAATTGTTTTCGATACAGTAGGTTGAACTTCCGATGTTTTTTTCGTGACACACACTTTAGAAGAATTAGTAGGGGTTAGGGAGGGATGGCGGAAATGAACACAGAGAAAGCGGAAGATCGTATCGAAGCCGAGGTCGAAAATAAACCAACCAGAACTAACAACTACTCACCATACGCTAAAAGAAATGATTCATATTCATGCATTTCTTCTTTTTCTTGTCTATACTAAGGATGGGGGGTTTCGTCTTTTGTCGCGACGTCATGTTGAGCCCATAGCTTTGCCTGCACCTCCTCTTCTTTTGTCAGCAACTCTCGCAGTGAACGCAGGCGCTCCTTTAGACCCGCGTTTTCTCTCGACAACGCGGGATCGATCGGCGGGGGCCGTGCGAGGATCTCATTAATATTATTAATCATCGTCGCCATCATATGATTAGCACTGTTAGAATGGTTATTCCCCCCTCCTTTAAGCAATTCCTGGCGGATCTTTTCAAACCAGCAGCGGTAGAGGCGGTCGAGGGGTTCCCGCCGGAGCTCCTGCGCCTCAACGTAGGCGACGTGCGCGCAGGCGTTGAGCAGGACCGCGGCCACTGCCCGAGGCTCCATCGCCATGACGCTGCTCTCGCGTTGATTATTCGCTTTATGATCATTCCTACCACTTTTGTCCTCATTTCTAGGCGGGTCCGTACCGACAGGCTTGGAGTTGCTGTCGTTTGCGCGGCGTTTGGCGACCTCGAGTGCGGCGCACGCCTCGAGCACCCAGGTGAGGAGTAGCCTTTGCGATTTATCCGATAATACCCCTTTTTGAGTTTCGTCTTCGTCTTCGTTGTAGGTGAGGGCGAGAAGGTGATCCTCGAGGATTAGATTGCGCTCTAAAAGATCCTTGTTCATCTCTTGCAGTCCAAGCAACTCGCGCTCTCGCATCGAGGTCAGATCTCGCGCACCTCGAGACCATGACTTTTCCCTCTCTTTTTCGTCCCCTTCTTCAAATAAACCTTGCGAACGGGCTGGAGAAGATTCATCGCCTCGATGCTCATCATTCGATAGATTCTTCTCGGATGATATTACGGATTCAGGCTTCTTCGTTGGAGAACGTTTTGAAGAGGCCACCTTTCTTTTTTCTTTTCCTTTTCGCGTGTCCTCGTGACGGGCAATCCTTAGCTCTTCGCAGTAGGTTTCAATCAGCTCATCATCGCGGCGGCTTTTTTCCAAAAGCACCTGAATATGTCGCCGAAGCTGCACATTTTCCTGCTGGACGGTAGAATATCGCGCTTGCAAAGCGAGATGCTTTATTTTACCTTCCTCTAAGGCGTGCTGGGAGGCATCGAGCTCCGCGGCGAGCTCCCGCGCGGTCTGCTGTCGACGGTCGTAAATGCACGCGACGCGATCCCGCGCCTCATCATCCACGTCCTTCTTCTTCCCGTCGGATTTTACGTTTTTGACGTTTCCTTTCAAAGGCGATCGCTCCACGCGCGAGGGCACCTCGTCGTTGTCGGGGCCCTTCTTCCCTTTCTCCCCCTTCTTGACCTCCTTCTCTTTTCCCGTTTTTTTTCGTTCGTCCCGCGTCTTTCGCTCCGCCTCCAATTCCCTTTCGAGATCCTTCACCTTCGCCTGGAGAAGGACAATCTGCTCTGCGCGCCCTTTCCACCCCCCCCCTGCGTGCGTTCCGTCAGGTAAACGGCCCTCCCCGGGGCTCCTCCGCGCGCGTGCGTTCTCCTTCGTGGGGGAAGTCCCCTTCTCCTCCCCCTCCCCCTCCTCTACGTTTACCGTGCGTTTTTGAAGTTGAATCCACTCCCCCACTCCTTCTACCGTCTTCCCGATCTCGCGAGCGAGGAGGTGTCGAAGCAGAAGCCCCTCCCGTCGATGCTCCGCGGCTTGGCGTTCGCGCTCGTGGAGTTTGGCGTAGGCCCGATCGAGGCGTTCTTTCAACGCCGCAGACCCTTCCTCGTGCGAGACTAACGAGGACGACGCGATCGCACTTGCGTTTCCCGCTCGCAAGCCTTTCCTGGGAGAGCGCGTGGCCTTCCCCTCCCACCCTCCGCCCCGCCCCACCGTCTTGTCGAGTTCATCGAGGCGGGTTAGGCAGGATTGCAGATCCCGCACGCGCGCGCGTTCGCCCTCCAGCAGTGCCGTCAACGCGCGCGTTTTTTGGATCTGCGCGAGGTATTTTCCCTCAAAGAGGCCTGCCGCCCCACCAGGGGCCTCCTCACACGCGCCGTCGATCTTTTCCCCCTTCTCGGGCCCCGTGAGGGGGTCCCCCTCCGGATGATCCATCACCGTCGGACTCCGGGCACGAGGCCGACCCTCCCTGACGTCCTTTCTCTCTTTCTCTCCCTTTCTTTCCCTGCCTCTCTATTTATTTTTATCTCCCTTTATCTCTCTTCCTCTCTTTAGATAAAGAGATCGAGATGGATATAGAGATAGAGAGGTGTATTCAACTGAAAGACCTTGGACGATATGAATTTCTGCAGCTTTAAAAGGGAAAATGAAAAAGACCAATTTGTTACAATTCTGCACATTTATCATTATATCTATATATTCCAGTACAACGCTTAAGCCCCTTTGTCGTTATGTTATGTATTTGGTATGTTCACATCGGGGTTCAAAGACTCACACTTTCATCCAAATTTCGTCCAGTTCGAACCAGATGCTCAAACATTCATCACAGCATTTTTTCATTTCTGGAGAACTCAATAAACAATAAGGAAAGGTCCTACGAAAGGGGGTGGATTGCTGCATTAGTAAGTTGAAACGTGCGCACGCGTCGCCCACCACTGCTGTTCCCAATACTGTATCATCCCTAGCGCCCATTCCACATTCTCATCCACCTCTTCCTCCCACTTTTCGTCACTTTCGTCATACGTTTCGCTTTTGATTTCCATTTCCTTTTCTTGATCATTTTTTTCGTCGTGGGGGTGCAGTAAATGCCGGAGGGGGGTTCCCGCGCAGGGTACTATCCCCACCAGTGATCCTGTTAATAGCGCATCTCGGCCACTTTTTGTAAAGGCCGCAGTCGACGCCGCCTTCATCCATGGCAGATGCTCTTCGTCTTTTAGAGTTGTTTTTGTTTTTTCCGAAAATCCATCAAAACCTGGGGGACAGGTGAAAAAAAGTAAACGATCCCTTTTCTCGCCTTCTTCGTTCCCGTCTTGTGGATTGTTGGGAGACTTCTTCACAGACGAGAGAGCTTCGTGCAGTTTATACAGTATCGCCGGCGGTATACTGGGTGTGTTGGTTTTATCATTTTGAGTATTATATTGAGTATTTCCGCCTTCGACGGGCGTGAGGGCGATAACGGCAACTTCGGCGGCCGCCCGTAGGGTCTCCAATGTGACTCGAAACCTTTTCGCTTCGTATGCGATTCCGCGAGGCGGTTCCTCTTCGTCCTCCTTTTCCTCCACCGCCGCGATCCAGATTAACAGCTCCCACGCGTTTTCCACCTCTTTTCCTTCGCTGTTTGCGTTTTTTTCCGGGGTCTCACGTTGATCGTCGCGTTCGTTTTCATTTTCCAAGCGGAAGAGCCCCGCGAGAACCGCACAGAGATGACGAGGCCATCCACTTTGATAGTCATGTAGGAGCTCATCGATCGCAGTGCTGACCCACCAAACCACCCGCCGAAGTTTAAAAAAGATCGAAGAGGAGGGGATGGGGTAATTTTTGTTTTCTTTTTCATTATTCGTCTGTTCGGCCTTTACGAGATCAAGGAGGAGGTGGGCGAGGGTGAGGAAGAGTCCTCCGAGGGCGATTTGGGCCTCCTCGCTCAGACCCCCCCCTCGCCGATGGGCAGCGATCAAATCGACCAGCAACCGCAGCCCCGCCGGAAGAGCCACGTCGAGCTCCGCCGCCACCACCGCGGAATCCCAACTCGACAACGCCCATCGATTTCGATTCCGATTGGTCATATTATCTTCAGTAACAGTAACTGGGATATCATCTGTAACAGTAACTGGGATATCATCTGTAACAGTAACTGGGATATCATCTGTAACAGTAACTGGGATATCGTCTGTAACAGTAACTGGGATATCATCTGTAACAGTAACTGGGATATCGTCTGTAACAGTAACTGGGATATCTTCTAGATTTTCCCTCGGGATCTTTTTTGTTTGGGCCCCCAGGGCGGCCCAGAGGCCTTGGCGAAGACGCCCCACCCGCAGGAGCGCCGCGAGGCCGACGGCAGCGATCAACATGTCGGAAAAATGAGTCGCACCTTCGCCATTTTTGGGATTATTGACATTAATCCCATGAATATCGCCATTGTTGGAATGCATTGGATTCATTATAGGATTATCATTCTTATTGGGGGATGAGGCGGTCTCCGGGGGAGGTAATTCGCGGGATATAATCGCGGACAAAATCGCAAATCGCCGTGTGTGGAGTTCGAGAAGGCGGGCCGAGGCGAATAAACGAAGACTTCGCGCCACAGCGGCCCCTACCGCGCGGCGGGCGGGAATCCCGCCCGGGCGCCGATGAAAACGCCGCAGGGCCACACAACTCATCCAAAAAAACATCCCCGAGGAGGGCGAGGCGGAAGAAAAAGACGTCGGCGGGGAGGATGTTGAGCCCCAGGGCGGGTTCGCCAACTTTCGCATCGTGAACGACCGCGCGGGGGCCGAGTGGTCGTCCGGAGCGGGGAGGAGGGCGCGGGCGAAATATTCGGCGAGAGCCGCCGCCGTCGAGGGGTTTTTCGCCGTGAGAGCCGAAATAAACACTGGACTCGTCGACCACCTCGCGAATGAGGCGGGAAAGGCCAAAAAAGAGGAGGACGGGGGAGGTTTGCCACTGCTAAACCACCCCCAGCTCCCCCTCTCCACCGCCACCTTGTCGGTCTCGTCGTCGTTTTTATTCTCCCTAGGGGGGTTATTCTCAAAGGGGATGTTTAATTTATCAAACAAATTAAATAATTCAAATAAGTTCAATAAATCCTGCCCCGCTTTCTCTACCTCGTGCGAATTCAACGGCGGGGTGAAAAGGCCCGCGGTAAGGTAGGCCATCCCGGCGGCGACTCCTTCCGTCCACGCGCTCGGCCGCCGCCGCGCGAGGCCATCCTCCCCCCCTCCCGCGCGCAAAATTTTTATCAAACGCGATTGAATTTCCCCCGAATCGTCCAAAATGGGGGAGGCTTTTTCAAGAAACCCCTTCGGTGGTTTTATTTTTAGAGTTGGATGGCCAGGGCGGGGGGGCCGAAAGGGGACGAGGCCCGACGTGAAGAGCAGCGCCGCGAGTTCGAAGGCGGCCGCGACGTCGCCGCGATCGGCGAAGATCTCAACAACCCCCACAGCGGTCTCCTGAAGCCCCCGCAGCGTCCTCGCAAGGGGCAAAAAAGACGAAAAAGAAAATTGAAAAGACGACGAAAAGGATGAAAAAGAGCTCACCGCCGCGGTTTCGTTCGTTTCGCACCGGGTCTGGGCCAATACTGGGGCATAGCGCTCTAAAATATGGCCGAAAATCCCCACCACGACGCTATCCTGCGCCCTGCTACAAATATCATTACTATTAATACTATTAATCGTATTGCTATTACTATGACTGTTGTGGCTGTTGTTTTCAATAATAATACGTAGTAGGCGATGGAGAAAAGCGGGAATTAACGTCGGGCAGAGCCGGGCGAGGCGGGCGACGCCGTCAGGCGAGTCGAGAGCGGGCGGGAGCAGCCGCGAAAACGCGCGAGGGTGGCGCGCAAAAAGCGGCGGGGGAATCCAAAACGGCCCGCGTGATTCACCGCCGCCGCCGATTTCCCCGTGGAGGGGGGGCGGCAAACGCGCGAAAAGCGGCGCCGCAGCCTCGGCAATCGCGCGGGAACGCGCCAGAGGGGAATTCGGCCCCGCCAAAGGCCGAATTCCCAAAAACGGAAACGCTAAAACCTCCGCCAACCCCTCCATGACATCCTCTTCGCCTGCGGCATTGCTCAGGGCACTCCGCAGACGTGCCGGGGAGAGTGTGAGCAGCTTGGCCGCCGCGTAAATGCGAATCCACGTTGAATTTCTTTTTTGATCTTCTGGGGAATTCAACATTGTCTAAGGCTTTAATCAATTGATAAATAATTTATCCTAAAAACCCTCCCTTTGGGGAAGAACTAATACTAACACTACGGATAATGAAAAACTCCTTCCTCCTTAACAGACCGAGGAAAAATGGTCTGTCAGGACTACAACAATCACGGCTATTCAACCTTAGTTTCAATCTCTATATATATATCTATATATCAATACAAATATACTAGCGTATTATTGAATAAGGGAGAGAGAAAAAAACGATTCAGCGCTGTTTCTCATTTCCTCCCCCCCCCCTTCACTATTGGTGTACCTTTCAGAGGTTCAGATCGCTATCAGCCAAAATGAAAAACCAACTATGAAGCATACTACACATATTTTTTTTTCCCGAAATCCACGACGGTTCGCAATGAAGCCCTGGAAAGGAAAGAAAAACCGGGTGAAAATGGACTTTATATAGGTTCATTGAACAAAAAAAAAGAAAAAAAAAGGCAAGTTCGGTGGCTCTGAGTTAAGTTTACATGATTTAACTCTACACGCAGCAATGAAAGCACTATAACATTTCGTGCAGTTCCAAAATTATACCTTTTTTCCCCCCTTCTCAATAGTTTTCTAGATACGTGCTTATCATAGCTGAAGGATTGCATACGGAAAAAAAAAGAATAAAAGAGGTGCTATATACATCAGGACACATCACACGTCATTATATATATATATACATATACATATACATATAAATATATATAATGATGATTTTTTAAACAAAGATACGAATACCGCAACGACTCCGTAAGATAGAAATCAAATTTACTAGGTGCTCATCCTTCCCTTCTTAACCCCTCTCCTCCCTTTTCCCCATTCCTTGAGTTCAGTTTTCGGATACATAACAGTACCGCTCGGCTCGGCGGTAAAAAAAAAAGAGAGAAAGGATAGAATATATTAAAGAGGTGCCTTTCCTTTTCCTATCCTTTATTCCGCCTTCGACTTCTCGAACCTGACCTTCGAGATACTCCGGAAATTGTGTGAATACTAATGGTAATGATCGAATTAGGTGATAATCGATGGGTATGTTTGGAAAGATACAGTAGACATGTACATCAGCGAATGGAGAGGAAAAGCGCTTCTATAAGCGGCTGTGCTCGAGATAATAATAATGGTTATTTCTGAGAGAAAGAGAGTGCAGGGGCTTGATGTAGGGAGGGGAAAAAAAAAGAAGTAAAGTCTCTAGAGGTCAAATTCCTCCCTGTTTTGATTTCTATTGTCTTTTTTTTTGTCTTTTAAAGCTTAGGAGACTTCTTTACGGCGCTGCGCGAGTTGTTTGTAGGCCTTCTTTTCCTCTCTCTCCACCATCGCGAGGGCCATCACCTTGAGTTCATGTCGATCGCGTATTTCATTATCGGGGAAGTCATCTACCGTGGCCAATCCCGGCGAGCTCGTCCCTCCGCCCGCGGCGTGGATGGGGCTTTGCGAGCTTTGGTGGGAACTCCCCTTAAGGGCCCCGATGCCGAACTCGTTCATCTCCTCGGAAGGGAGGTGGTGATAGATCTCGCGCAGCCCCCCGGCCCCTCCCAACGCGAGGGATTTCCCCTGCGAGCCCAACCGCCCGCCTGTGGTTGGGGCTTGATTTGATTTATGCGCGGTGGACGGGGGGCCGTACGGGGCGGCCCGCCCCTTCCCCCCTTCCTCGAGCTCCTCCGGGCCGAGCTGGGCGATCAACCCCACCGCCTTCGCCTCGCAATGGCGGAGCAGCAGAACCGCCGGGACCTCCCCCGACCCCGTGGGGAGGGAAAGGCTGTTCGGACTACTACTCGTCGGGTTCGAATGCGGGGTCGCCGTTGGCATCGCCGCCACGCCGTTGGGCGGGGGCGGCGCGAGCGCGAGTTTCTCCGCCAGCGCCAGGACCCCGGCCTCGACGTTCAAGGCGAGTTTCGACAAGGCCTCGTACTTCTCCTGGGCGGCCTTCAACTCTTCCTGGCGGCGTTTGAGGTGGTTTTGGAACTCACCGAGGACCTGGCGATTGGCGTTCGCGCGCTCGGCGAGCAGGCCGTAGTCCGGCTTGCGCGGCGAGGAGAGGGGCGGGTCGGCGTCTTTGCCGCCCGAGCTGCTCCCGGCCTGGGCCTGCAGGCGCCGCCGCCGCTCGTGTTGATCCCGCGCGTGGCGGGTGATTCTACTCGCGACCATCGCCCCCCCGGCGCGCTGGTTCGCCTCCTCCCACCGCTCCCGCAGCCCCTCGCAGGTGCGGCGATCCGTCCTGAGCGATTCCTCCAACTCCGCGATGGTGCGTTTTAGCGTTTCGTTCGTCTGGACGCGCTCGAGGTACTTCTCGATGACCGCGGCGACACTCGTTTGCATGGTGGCCTCGCGGAGGCTGAGGTAGGCCGTCTTGTGCGCCAACAACCACTCCGCGGTCTCGCCGTGGTCCTCCGGGCGGGGCGGGACCGGGGGGCTGCCCGGGCCTTCATTCCCCCCACCGCCACCGCCACTTGTCCCGCCGAGGCCGCCTCGCGGGCCGCGCTTGCCGCCGGGCTTCTCCGGCTGGAGCTGCCGCGCGTGGTGCTCGTCCTTCTGCGCGATGCTGCGGACTAGGCCGTGGTAGGCCTTCTCCAGGGCCTCGCGCTTCTCCTGGACGAAGACCCGGCGCTGCTCGAGGTCCTTTCGCTGGTGCCGGTGCTCCTCCTGGAGGCGGAGTTTGAGGGCCAAGACCTCCGCCTTGGCCTGGTCCCGCCCCCGCGCGGCGTCCTTGCCGACGTCGATGAGCTCCTGCATCTCCCGCTCCGTCGTCCGGAGGGCCTTCTCCGCCGAGGACAGCTGCGTGTCGAAGCCGCCTTGCTCGAGCTGAAGGCGCTCTAAAAGGGTTTCGTAGGTCTTACGAATCGTATTCACCTCGTTATGCTTGATTAAACACTTGTCCAGGCGATTCTCCAAGGCCCGGATCTTCTGCGCGATGGGCGAGCTCTCGTCGATGATGGTGTTGTTGCTCTCGATTTGGACGTACTTGTTCTCCTCGACGACGCGCTCGATCTCGCGGGTGAGCTCGACGTTTTTGCCTTTGATCGCGTTCAGGCTGCGCTTGAGAACGCACATTTTGTTGTGCAGGAGGTCTTCTTCCTTGTGGTAATGCGCATCGATGTCGATATTCCGCTGGCCCCGCAGCGCCTGTTGGAGGGATTGCTGAAGTTCTTTGTTCTCCCGGCGAAGGGTGGTGAGGAGCTCGTTGCTTTTGCGAATCTCACTTTGGATTGTCTCCAGGTGATTGCGCTGACTGACATCAATGACGGTCTGCCGCTTGCGTGATAAGTCATCCCCCGGCATGTCTGCGGTTATCGGCGCGAACTATTGGTGTTTTTGTTTGCTTCAAGGCCCGAGGATTGTCCGAGGATCGTTCCTTTTCCTTTCCAACGCACCTTACTAATGTTTGCTTCAGAATAAACTGTGCTAGAGAGAAGAAGAAAAAAAAGATAAGTGGGGGAAATAAATTGTTAGTGTCAAAAAGGCATGAAATACATGGTGTGTATATATATATATTTGGTATCAATCAGCTTCATTTTAAATTTATAAGCAGATTTATCATCTTTGAGTCCAAGCAGTAGAGAGAAAGAGACTAGTTGCCGCATCGAGCCACTCAATCTCTATTGGGGTTCCATTGACAACTATTCAATTTCCCCTCTCCCTTATTAAGAAGAGTTTTTACACATGTATATATGAAGGAAAAAATTAAAATAAAAAAATCGTATTTGAATGGTAAATGAAATATAGCCCTTTACCCTTACGACACTTGCTAAAGGGAAATAGGAGCGTTTAACATTTTTTTATTGGTGATAAGAAATTTGCAGGTGTATATATATGTATAGCGAAACACATTTAAATTGGAGTTCTCGTTGCTTTCCTCATAGTGACTTTAATGTGATCATGGGTGGATTTAGAAGAGAGATGCCGTTTAAACGCAATACATATCTGTGAGTGCGAAACATGGTAAATATAGCGTAATAAAAGATTCAGTATGGAATATATATATATATATATATATATATTGCCTCAAAGTGATAGAAGCAAAATATATATTTCTCTATTCGAAAATGAGGTTGTGAAAGATGAGCTGAATTTCACAAGCGTTCTGTAAGACGACATCAGATAGTTAACGAGAATGCTCTCTAGTCACTATGGAAATCAACTTGGTAAAGGGATGCGGGTCATCACTTTAAATAAGTAAAAAAAGATTCAAGATAATGATCCTCTCTAGACAGAGGATCCCAAGCGAAAAAGTCTATGGTTGGCAGATAAAAAACACATATACACAGAACGGTCGTATATTTTTCGCTACGAAGATTAGCTTTATGCGGGAAGAACTCGCACCCAACACTTCTTCCCATCACACTTTGGAACTGAAAAGTATTAAAAATCATTGCTATTGGTGAATGGGATTTGTTTCGTTCATCGCCGGCATGAGGTTTCCACTTCCCTGAATGCATGGTTGCCTTTTCAGTAAGCGTCTTACCGCGTCGTCGGCGGTACATCACTTTTCCAATATAGGTTGAGGCTTGAAATAGTAAAACCCCGACAGACAGATACTCGATGCAAGGACCGCTATACCAATAAGGATTATTTTGGATAAGATTTGTCGCCGCCATCGTTCTGCCTTTTTGAGCATTGTCTCCTTCACAGCCTCCATCGTCCTCGTAATGCAGGTAACCGTAGGGCTGTACCATTGCCGAATCGAGGCCTCATGCCGTGTGATCACGTGGATGACGTACAGAGCCGCGTACCAGCACCCCTTCACGGCGTTCTTCACCGGCGAAACAATCGTCAGCCAGAACTCCCGCCACCAGCCGAACGTGGAGGAGATTCCCTCCACCCCGGACATCCCCTTCATCCCCAGGACATCTCGCACCATCGCCACCAGCCACGCGATGGCGGTCAGAAGCGCCCAGGTGGTGGCATAAAGCAGGCCGAAGACGTTGGAGAGGGCCCCTGTGACACCCCACAGAACTCTCAAGGGCAACTGCAGAAGGCTACAGAGGGCCCCTGTGACACCCCACAGAACTCTCAAGGGAAACTGCAGGAGACTATAGAAGGCCCCTGTGACACCCCACAGAACTCTCAAGGGCAACTGCAGGAGGCTATAGAGGGCCCCAAAGGCCTGCAGGAGGTAAAGTTGCGACAGCACGCGCGCGAGGCCGTCGCCGCTTGTCCACAACGCCGAGAGGAGGTACGTCGCGAGGACGGAGCGGCGCAGGGCGAGCCGGGCCTCGACCACGCGCGCGAGGGGCTCCAGCCCGCGGGCTATCACCGTCGTGAACTGCGGGAGGTGCCAGTAGAGGTCGTAGAACCCCGCGGCGAAGGCGACGAGGGGGCCGAGGTTGGTCAGGACGACGTGGAGGCCGTACAGGAAGCGGCGGCAGGGGAGGCCGGGGAGGAAGGCCCAGCGTGGGATGCCGCTTTCGCACATCGCGAGCAGCCGGCGCTGCGCGGCGGCGCTCACGGCGTAGGGGAAGCTCCCCGCCTCCGGCAGCAGCACCTCGCGCAGCACCTCGTCGAAGAGGGGGTCAGCGCTGAAGACCGACAGCACCACTTCACGGTGCGTGGAGACCAGACGCGGTGAGCCTCCCTTTGCCCGCTCTGAGGACCACCGGGAGGAGGCACTTTGTACCCGTCGGGTTTGTTGTTTTGCACGATCGCCCTTTGTTCTATTTAGGTCGAGAGGTTGCTGGGGGATTTGCGCGCTGATGCCCGCGCTGTGTCGTGCGCGAATGGCTTGGAGATCGGCACCGCAGCCGTAGTGTTCAAGCGCGGTGCGGAGGGAGGGAAAGAGGTAGCTGCGCACGACTTTGGCTTCCATCGAAAAGCACCTGGAGTGGAGCCGCGGCGCGTAGTCGAGCGCCGTCAGATCCGCATGAAGCACTTCAATGGACTCCACCGCGTGGTGGTGAGAAAAACGAGGCAAGGAAGAGGATAAAGGTTGCCTCAGTGAATCGTCTTTGTCGTTATCGGAGGAGGAGGAAGGCGAAGAGGAGGATACCCAACATCGCTTTGCCAGTCCTTGACGATCGCAAGCAAACGCAGGCGGCGCACCAAAGAGCCGGCGCTGTAATCCTTCCCACCGTAAGCTCAGTCGCCGCAGAGGATGGCGTCTTGCTCGACCTCCACGAGAGGCCGTGTTATCGAGCTTCGACGCGGAGTCCTGGTCGTTGTCGTTTTCATCGTTGTGGAGGAGAAAATCATCGACGGGATCGACAATAAATACGAAGCGATCCCGCGGCTTTGTGTTGAAGAGCCAGCGGACGGTATGCCCGACGACCTCCCCGATCCGCCGGCGGCGGTGGATGAAGTAGTCGGAGCCGGCCACCCGCGTCCGCCATCTGCCGAGCTGTAGGTAATGCAGGATCACCGGCGCCTCCCTTTCCAACCCCAAAGGGTAAAACACGCTCCTGTTCGGCACGTCGCTCCTGCCGGCCGTGGCGGAGGGCCGATAGGAATCGGGATCCTCCGTACAGCTATCCTCCCGGATGGCTGAGGACGACGCGAATGGGGTTGATATCGAAATTGACAAGGGTTTTTGTTTCTGTCCGGACGTAGCGGAGTTATCGTTTAAGGAACTTTGGGCGACGTATCGCCGCGACGGCATGCTCCAACATTTCATTGACGTGGCACCGTTGCTGTTCTCCAGCCGCAGGGAATCAGAAAACAAAGATTGCCATCTCAGCGAGTCAATGAATTCCGAGGAAAAGAGAGGATTTTCTTCAAGGCTTAGGGGGTCGCTGAGCTCGTCAGATGTTAATATGGTATTTGTTTTACTACAATTCAGTGGTGGGTGATCCGGGTGTCTGGGATTCATTGGGATAGGAAGATTTTCCCCCTAGACTAGCGATTTACTATTGCCAAGATTACTATTGTCCGAAATGAAGAAGACACTTGAAAGGTATTCATACAGGCATCATTATCAACAATGGATGAATTGTAACCAACTTGTACCTTTTGTTCAGTAAATTGTAGTTTTTTTTTTTATTCTTTAAGTTTCTTTGTATGCATATCTATTATATATAGGAGTTTAATGAATTCACCATGAAAGTACTATCGAATACGATGACTATGCCTGATATGACTTTAGGAAATAAGAGGCAAAAAGAGGATGCCACACACAGACTATTTGCAACTAAATATATAGTTTACTCTGTGTGAAGCATCCATCCCCGTTTTTCGTATTACTTTCTTCACATTCTGTTTGTCGTTGAAAGATTTCTGTACTCTACTCTATGTAGAGTACATCCAAGGATGCAAACACACAAAAGATATGGTTTAATACTATCTTGCTGTGCCACGTGTAAGAAATATATCTAATTCAATTCCCCTCTTCTGATTGTTGATATACCTTTTCTTTTTTTTCCTCACTGTACTATACACGCATTACTAGGAGAGGGTGTTGTCCTTGCTGTAGTCTTTCTCGTCAACTGCATCTAATACGAAGGAGCCGTACTGCTGATTCCATTCTGTATACCGTCGCACCTCGGACGGCCCTACACTTGGCTTGATCCGTCTTAAAGCTTGCTTAAAGTCAGACGCGTTGACAAGTCGAAGGTCCTTTTGAGTGATTTCGCTCAGCTCGTGCGATGTCATTTCCCGCAGCGGACCCATCGCCGCCTCTCGGCAGAGCAGCCGGAGGTCAGCACCGGAGTAGCCCGCCGTCATCTCCGCCACGCGCACAAAATCATTAGTGGACAGGCAATGTGCCTCGTTATTACCACCGATTGGGGGGTTCTCTGCCGTAGAGTTTGGTTCTTTTGAGCGTAGCGTGGCGAGAAGCCGTTCGATGAGCTGCTGCCGCGCAGTGAGGTCAGGAAGAGGGATGTAGAGCCTCTTTTCCAACCGTCGGCGCGCGGCCTCATCGAGCTCGTCGGGGCGGTTCGTCGCGCCGATCAGCAGGACGCGGTCGCCGCTGTTCGTGGCGACACCGTCGAGATGAACCAAAAACTCCGTCTTGACGCGCCGCACGGCGTCCATCTCACCCTCGCCACGCATCGACAAAAGGGAGTCAATTTCGTCAATAAAAATGACGCTTGGCTGTTTGACGATGGCCACGGCAAAGAGACAGCGTACGAGCTTCTCGCCGTCCCCCACCCACTTCGACATCAGCGAGGAGGAAGAAATGTTTAGGAAGGTGCACTGTGCGCGGTTCGCGATGGCGCGCGCGATCATTGTCTTGCCGGTACCGGGCGGCCCGAACAGCAGCAGCCCCCGCGGCGGGTCGCGCAGCCCCACAAAAAGGTCAGGCCGGCGCAGCGGCCACACGATGGCCTCCTCGACGCTTGCCTTGGCGTGTGCCAGCCCCACGATATCGTCCCATCCGACCGACCCCCCGCCCCCCGCCCCGCCCTCCAGGATCTCCAGCGCGACCTGCGCCACGAGTTTGGGGTCGAGCGGCTTGAGGATATCCGGCACGCTGCCGTCGGGCCGCAGCAGCCCTGGTGGGTAGGCCCCGGCGTCGTCGCCGTCGTCGCCGTCCGCGGGCTTCCGCGCGGAGGTCGAGGACGCGGCCCCGTTGCCGTTACTGCCGTCGGGGACGTTACTGTTACCGTGGCCGTGGCCCTTACTGTTACCATAGTTACTACTGCCGTTGCCACTGTTGCCGTAACTGTTACTGTTACCGTAGTTGCTGCTGTTGTTACTGTTACCGTAGTTACTACTGTTGTTGGCGTTGCCGCAACTGTTACCGTTGCCATAGACGGTGCCGCTGTTACTGTTACCATAGTTGCTACTGCCGTTGCCGCTGTTGTTACCGTTGGCGTTGCCGCTGTTGCCGTAATTGTTACTGTTGTTACTGTTACCGTAGTTGCCGCCGTTGTTGGCGTTGCCGCTGTTACTGCTGTGGAGGTTCGGATTCCCATGGGCCCTAGTGTTGGCACCGCCGTGCGGGGCTGCCAGGGGCTGCTGTTGGAACGGCGGCTGAAAGCCGCTGCGGCGGAGCCCCAGGGCGGGGGAGCGGTGGCTGAGGTGGCTCGCGTGGGACGGGGCCGCGCGGCCGGCTTTGAGGTCGAGGAGGAGCT